ATGTGTCCGAGTAGGCTGATGAATCATGACTGCAGCAAGTGCCCCACTCTGGGGGATGCTGGTAGCAGGGGAGGCCGTGCATGTGTGGAGGCGGGGGGTGTATGGGGAATTTCTGCATCTTCCCCTCGGTGTCGCTGTGAAACCAAAGCTGCTCTAAAAAGCAAGGTCTATTTAAAAATTAGAGCAAATATTCATTCATTACTATACCAAGCATCTGGCTTATTCACACACTTAAGAAATAACTGGGTTGGCGGTTGGCTCAGCTGGTTAAGAGCATGGTCTGATAACACCAAGGTCAAGGTGCTCGGATCCCTGGACGGGCCAGCTGTTTTTTAAAAATAAATAAATAAAGCCACAGAAGCAGAAAACGACACATCTCATGAAAACTGAGGCTCGACACCTATTTGCTGAGAAAATAAATGCTGTGGAAAGCACTAGAAATACGACGGGGGCTGCATACATACATTGTTCCCAATTTTCCAGGAGCCACATCAAAAAGTAAAAAGAAAAAAAAAACCCAAACACATAAAATCAATATTAATTATATATTCTATTGAATCCAGTAGAGCCAAAATATCATTTCAACACCTAACGCATGTGGAAAATACGGCGGAGCTACTGCAGTCCCGGGATCGGGTGTGTGTGTTAAACTCAGCACGCGTCCCAGTGGCACCGGCCACATTTCAAGGGCTCGACAGTCACAGGTGCCCTGAACAGCTCAGCGCTACAGGGAAAAAATGAACCTGTAGGAAAGAAGCCGGATGGGACACAGTGGAGCAGGGTTTGGGTTAGGGACGGTGCCAGGAGGAAAAAGGTACCCCCCCCCCCCCACNCCCCCCCCAACGCTGGCTCTGGGAACAGGGAACCCAGAGGTGGGGGCAGTGACAGGGACACAGTGGACCTTCCCTTTCTCTGTTCTCACTCTGTAATCAGTAGACGCGTGCAGTGATTCTAATAACAGATCCCCGTCAGGTGGGGGTTAAAAAACCTGACGCCTGGTTTTGGTGTCAGCGTGAGTTTGCCTCATAGAATGAGTCTGGGAGAGTGGCCTGGGTTTCAATTTTTCAGAATAGTTTGCAGAGAACTGGTCTCGATTTCTCTTCGAAGGTTTGGTAGAACTGTGCAGCGAAGCCACTCGGTCCTGGGCTTTTCTTTGTTGGGAAACTGCTGATGACAGCTTCAATCTCTGATTGTTATTGGTCTGTTCAGATTTTCTACGTCTTCTTGGCTCAGTTTTGGGAGCTTGTGTGTGTCCAGAAATTTATCCATTTCCTCCAGATTTTCAAATTTGTTGGCGTATAGTTGTTTATAGTAGTCTTGAATGATTCCTTGTATTTCTGAGGTATCGGTTGTAATATCACCTTTTTCATTTCTCATTTTTGTGTCCTCTCTCCGTTTTTTAGTTAGCCTTGCTAATGGCTTGTCAATTTTATTTCCCTTCTCAAAAAACCCACTTTTTGTTTCATTGATCTTTTGTATCATTTTTGGGGTATCTATTTCATTTAGTTTTGCTCTGATCTTAATTATTTCTTTCCGTCTACTAACTTTGAGTTTGGATTGTTCTTGTTTTTCTAGCTCTTTAAGGTGAAGCTGTTTACTTGCCATCTTTCCATTCTTCGAAAATAAGCATTTAATGGGATAAATTTCCCCCTTAGAACTGCTTTTGCCATATCCCACAGGTTTTGGTATGATGTGTCATTATTTTCATTAGTTTCAATACATTTTTTGATTTCCTGTTTAATTTCTTCTTGGATCTATATGTCATTAAGTAGAGTGTTATTTCCATGTGTTTGTATAGTTCCCAGATGTTACACATATATTAAGATTTACAAACATTACAAGTACAGCTGGATGAAGTTTTAACCTATGCGCACAGCACGGAACCACCACTCACATCAAGACTCACATTTGCATCCACCCTGAAGCTCTCCTGAGTCCTTTCCCAGTGGATGCTCCACCTTCCAGGGGTCATCATTATTTCTGAGTTGGTCACCACCAATCAACTGTTCTTGAAATTCATATAAATAGAAATCGTATGGTATGCACTCTTTTGCGACTGAAGTCTTGTGCTCAATGTAACATTGTTTTAAAAAGTCAGTACTTTGGGACCGGCCGTGGCTCACTCGGGAGAGTGCGGTGCTGATAACACCAAGGCCGCAGGTTCGGATCCCATATAGGGATGGCCGGTTGCTCACTGGGTGAGCGTGGTGCTGACAACACCAAGTCAAGGGTTAAGATCCCCATAGCGGTCATCTTTAAAAAAAAAAAAGTCAGTACTTTGTTCTTTATACCGCTAAGTGATATTGCATTTTATGAATATATCCCAGTTTTTTAAGCCATTCTTCTAGACATGTGGGGTGTTTCCAGTTTTGAGCTATTATGAACAGAGCGGCCATGAACATTACTGCTCCGTATATTTGCATCCACCCTGAAGCTCTCCTGAGTCCTTTCCCAGTGGATGCTCCACCTTCCAGGGGTCATCATTATTTCTGAGTTGGTCACCACCAATCAACTGTTCTTGAAATTCATATAAATAGAAATCGTATGGTATGCACTCTTTTGCGACTGAAGTCTTGTGCTCAATGTAACATTGTTTTAAAAAGTCAGTACTTTGGGACCGGCCGTGGCTCACTCGGGAGAGTGCGGTGCTGATAACACCAAGGCCGCAGGTTCGGATCCCATATAGGGATGGCCGGTTGCTCACTGGGTGAGCGTGGTGCTGACAACACCAAGTCAAGGGTTAAGATCCCCATAGCGGTCATCTTTAAAAAAAAAAAAGTCAGTACTTTGTTCTTTATACCGCTAAGTGATATTGCATTTTATGAATATATCCCAGTTTTTTAAGCCATTCTTCTAGACATGTGGGGTGTTTCCAGTTTTGAGCTATTATGAACAGAGCGGCCATGAACATTACTGCTCCAATCTTTTTGTGTATATACGGACTCGTTTACTTTAAATATTTACTTAGAAGTGGAATTTCAGAGTCATTGCATAAGCATATGTTTAATTTTATTAGAAACTGCTAAACAGTTTTCCAAACTTTCCACCAGCAATGTGTGAGAGCTCTGTTTGCTCTACATTTGCGTCAATACTCGGGAGTATGAATCTTTTTGGTTTTAGCCATTTTGCTAGGTTTGTAGCATTATTTCATTTTGTATTCAATTGCATTTTCCCGATGACTTGTGATGCGGAGCTCTTCTTCATATATTTATTGGTTATTTGCATATTTTCTTTAGTAAAACACCTGTTCACATTTTTTTCCTCCCATTATTACTTGGACTGTTTTTCTTTTTCTTATTAACTTGCAATAATTCTTTATACAGTCTAGATTAAAGTGTTTTATACGTAACATGTAAAAAAACAAAAAAACAACAAGCAAACCTGGTTCCTGGGGCTGGTTGGTTAGCTCAGTTGGTTAGAGCGCAGCATTACAACACCAAGGTCACAGGTTCAGACCCCCCAAAACAAATAAAAAACAACAAAAACCAAAAACTCAGTTCCCGGAAGCTCTCAGAGCCGGGGCCCTCCCTGCCCAGCCCGCTCACCAGTCCCTCCCTTCTCAGGCCCAGGCGACAGTAAGGTCAGAGGAATCTCCCCACCTACTTACTGCTGCCCCCAGATGCCACCTCCCCAAATCTCTCTAAAACAAACAAGCCAACAAGTGAATTTCACCTTTCCTACACTAGAGGAAGAGTTGGCCTGAAAAGGCAGCGAATCCACAGAACAGAAGAGGAAACTGAGTTTTATCCCTCAGGTCAAAACCCAGATGACCACAAACACGCAGGGAAACGATCACTCCGTCCTTACGACATGCCTGGGTGGGGGGCTCCCGGTGGCACCCCGGGCTCCTGCTCTGGACAATGGGCCACCGAGCCCCTGCACGGGTGCGGGGAGGGGGAGGCGGCCGGCAGGGACTGACACCCCTGGGCCGCTGCAAAAGTAGTAAGTCCTAGACCAGAAGGCGCAGGTGGGCACGGGGGTGCGACGCACACACACAGTCTGTCACCGCCCGCTCATGTAAACCTGTCCCCAACTGTGCCAGCAGTAGGACAGACCGGACCACGAGCCCCAGACCACGAGCGGCTCTGCAGGGTGGCCCTGGGCACGTCTCCTCTCCCTCTCCTGTCACTTCTGATAAAACACGTGGCCACTGCACAGCTTTCCCGCCTCCGGGCAGCAGGAAGGGCGCTCAGAGGCGTCCCCCAGGCCCCGCCACCCGCTCCGGGGTGCGGGACCGGCCGCGTCGAAGGGGTTCGAGGGGACCCGGGATCCTGCGGGATGTGGATCCAAACCAGGAGGCTGGGGGTCTGCAGAAGGCTGTTGAGCGGGCCAGGGGTTCACCGCAGATGGACATTTGTCACCACGACGGCAGCGAGCGCCGCCCGCGTTCACCCCTCCCGAGGGAGCCGGCCGCCCCGCCGCCTGCCTTCGCGTCCCCAGCACCCACCTGCCGCCTCACGCCCGCGGCCGCTCCTCTGGGCCGCGCCA